GAGATCAAACTTTCACAAGTTGAACAAACACAATCCGATTACAATTAACTGTTTTGGCCCCTCCCAATTTTTTTTTTCAAGATCCACCCCAAGTACAAGTGCTTCGTAAGTAGCGGTCCGTTTAATTGTTTTGAAAAATTTATATTACCACATTATTTTACGGGAAAAGACTACAGTCCCGTCACGAATCATTCATTGAGGGATTTTAGCCATGAATTATCTAAAATAACTAACTCACATGTATATCTAAAGACTAAAATCTCTCACGAAACCATCCCGTTACGGGATTCTAGAATTTTCCATTTTTTACGACCATCTTTATTCAAATCGTTGCGTTATTGACTCTTCAAATTCAACATTTCGACCCAAAAAAAACTAAACAAATAATTTGTTAATTACCAAATAAGTTAATTAACATATTCTGACATATATCAAACTTTTAAATGAAGTTTAATTCGTAGATCTTTACCAAACAAGTCCATTCTGGTTGGCTGTTGAGTTACTTGAAAGATAATATATTTTTTTTTCTCCTTTTTGCATGAAATTAATAAAAATTGAATGATCCATACTTCATATATATACTGCATTTTGCAAGTTGTAACATGTGAGATGAGTTAGTACATATCATATATACGTGCATTATACATTGAATGTTTATTTTCCCCATAGAAAAATTTCACTAAAATTCATCTCAAAATCCAATTAGACCTCACGTGAATCTAAGTTTTTAAATATAAAACAATATATGCTGATTAATTAGATGCAATTTTCCAAAATATAACTCAAATTATACAATAATTGTCTTTTCCAAAATAATATATTGAAAGATTGGTTCATTGATCTTGGCATTTGCTTCTTATCTTACTATTAAAAAATTGCAAGTGACAATTATTTTAAAGGACTTAATAATAATCAAGATTCAATTATTATAATGTTAGCCCATTTGCTCTTGCTTTTTGGAGTTATATAATATATATGTAGCCTAGACAAATATTATTTTATTTGGCTATATATAATTAATTATTTTCCTTAGTTGTGTGGAGAGCATGATTTGGACCTCAAATTAGATGCACATTGACATTGTGAACCAATCAAATTGTTCAGTTAACATGGCAAATAAAGACACCAAATAAGGTCAAGTTCATGTGCATGTGTTTATAAACTTGGCCAATCATCTAGCCAAAACACCACATTAGTAAATTAATTGAATAAGGAAAAATAATGAAATTATAGAATAAAATGTAGAAAATTAAACCAAGTTTCAATCTAGCAAACTTATGTCGATATCGAATAAATTACAATTTTAGTCTTGTATGTTTCACTACTTTAACTTTTTCGTCCTCTTTGAATTGTATTTTTTATTTTCGTCCCTTATGTTTGAAAAATGTTACAAAAAGATCCACTTCGCAACAAAAAGGTCATTTATGTTTTGAAAAAAAAGTGTCCCAATTTTGTCTCTTATGTATGAAAAAAACCTTTGTGTAACCTTTTTTCAAACATACGAGACGAAAATAAAAAACACAATTCGAAGAGGACGAAAAAATTAAAGTAGTGAAACATACATGACTAAAATTATAATTTACTCTACCCTTTACACTTTTTTATGAGAAAATATATGAAATATTATATTTTTGTTTATATTATTTTTTAGAATATCAACAAGGATCACTATTAAGTTTGCACGTATATCAATATATATTTTGCACGAATAGTTGTACAATTAATGGTCGTGAGTGACGGATCTAGAAATTTCACTCTGGAAGTACAATTTTAAATGTTAAATAATATAGCTTAAGTCGAAACACTCATTTCACATACAAATGTATTTACTATAAATATAAATATAGATATGTTTACCATTGTGTTCTTAAATTATCACCCTCAAACTTTAAAAAAAAAAAGTATTTCATGTATTTTAAATTTAAGTGCAACATCTATAATTTATGGAAAAATAAGTTTTTTTAGTTGAAAAATTAATTTAAATTTTAATTTTGCAGCACATTGCATAACTTTTTTTGTTGAGATAGCTTATAACCTTTTTTTTTATAAAAAAAATAAATTTTAAAATATTTGATTACACACAAAAAAAAAGTGAAATCAACATTCATAAATGTAACAATAAAACTAAATACTCGGTTTTATAAATCACTAAATTGATTTACGATTAAGAGACCGAAAGTGTAAATCACATTGTAAATATTTTCAAACGCTTATCTAGAAATGTTAAATATAACTATTATTAGTACATTTTTAATATAAATTAATATTAGTAATTTAAATTAAAATAACATAGAACATAAGTTTTAATTACTAGTCGATGGATCTTCTCATTGGAAGATTCAAAATATGGAAAATTGAGGTTCGATGCAATTGACAATCGTCCAGTCGTGTACCCGGGGCGGAGCCACCCTTAGGCTAGGATGGGCTCCAGCCCCATGTCTTAAAAAAATGCTAACCTAATTTTTTTAAAAAATTATATATAGTCTCATGTAATTTTTATGTAGCCCCGTTTAATTTGGGGCTAGATGTCTCAAGATTCAGGTCGATTTTTTTTTATCTGACAACAATAGTGGAAAAGTGGTGGTCGTAGTGAGATGAAAAAATATAATCTATTATTGTTAAATGACAATTGTGACCTTATTAAATTTTTATCAATTGAGTTTATAATGTGGCCCAACACACTCTTGCCTTTTAAATTTTTAATAATAGGTTGACTTGACAAGTACCAAATGAGCTGGATAATTAAGGTGGATACACACTTCTTCGGCGGGCTATTTAATTGGGCTCGTCTCGTTGCACAATCCGTTATCCATTTTTGTTTTTTTTTTTTTAATTTTGTCTCCAATAATTAATTCGACACCAATTTTTAGAAAAAAAAAAGCTCTTACAGAGTTGATTGCAAGCATGTTCGTCTCTATTTGTTTGATCGACAAGTTCAATTAGACTTTTGAGTTTGGCTTATTTAAATATATAAGCAAGTCGAGATTGAGTTTTTCAATTCTTACCGAAATATGCTAACAGATAATTCGGTCCTAGTCATGACCAAAACTGGTTATGGGTCGAAACCGCTGATCCCGGGCCGAGAGCTGGAGGATCCTTAACCGGCGTGAACATTTGCACGGGTCAGTTCATTAAACTGTCGGTTCTTGGCTATCTGGTTCATTAAAAAAAATAAAAAAATAACTTATGATTATTTTTTTAAAAAAAAAACCTCCAGTTGCGGTTCCAGTTCAGAACCGAAACTGTCGGTTCAAAATGTATAAACTATAAAGTATTGTACATGAACCGAACTGGTCAAAATCACGATCCGGTTCAAGACCCGTGCTCAACGGGTCGGTTTCTGTCGGTTCAGGCCGAACCGTCAGGCTGGGTCAGCCCATGACCATGTCTACTCAGTTTTATTTTAATGTTATTTTAATACAAAATTAAAACTTTACCAACAACTATATATCATACCAATCTTTTTTAAAAAAAATTAACCTTGCTTAGAAAACAAATAAAAAAACTAGTAAATTAATAAAGAAGCACGCTCAATTTTCACTCGGTTGCCCCTAGTTTTATTAGTGAATTGCTATTCACGTCCCCCTATTATTACTCACGGCTTCCCTCAATTACGTTTTTGCCCTTCACTACTCTCTCTATTATTTTCCTCTCGATTTTATACGGCTCTTTTGACCGTCAAAAAAATTTTAAAAAATTGCCAAAAAAATACTATGACATCAGCTAGACATTGAAGATTGACCATGTAATTTTTTTTTTTTTGGCGCGTCCTACCGACGTGGTCGAACGCGCACGGTGGCGTCCTACTGGCGAGGCCGGATGCGCAAAAAAAAAAAATAATATAAAAAAATTAAAAATTTTATACAAAGTAAAAAAAATACATGGTCAATCTTCAATGTTTTGCTGATGTCATAATATTTTTTCGCATTTTCTCGAAATTTGTTTGACGGTTAAAAGGGCCGTAGAAAATCGAGATGGAAAGAGTATAGAGAGAGAGAGTAATGAAAGGCAAAAACGTACATGAGAGACGGTAGATAGTAATAAGGGGCGGTGAATAGTAATGCCCCGTAGTTTATTATTGTAATCTAAACTCTAAAGAAGTTAAAAAGACTAAAGAGTCCCTGGTCGGTTCTCTTTATTTTATTACATTAATTGATGCTAGCATGCTATGCTGTTGGCATGCAACAAAATGTAAAAAGAAAAGACCATACATTACATTAAAAAAAAAAAAAAAAAAAAAAAAAAAAAAAAAAAAAAAAAAAAAAAAAAAAAAAAAAAAAAAAAAAAAAGGTATTACTAGTACAATTTCAATCATGCTAATTATGTTCTCTCTTAATTTTTTTTGCTGCCTTTGACATTACTGACGGTTTTAACATTTTCTTGAAAATCAATAATGAAAATGAACAGAGGAAAACAAACATTGAACACATCTACCTAATCCTGTTTTCATGGCTCAAGTGCATGAACCTCTTTCTCTCTCTCTCTCCTCCATTAATTCTTTTTATTAAATTAGAAAAGCAAGAAAAATTGACCCCTTACCTTTCTTTTTTCCCCATAGCCCACACTTCATCCCCATAACCGGGCCCACCCCCATTTGACAAAACCTAAAGATTGTGCACAGGATGTGAGATACAACGCCCCACACCCACATTTTGGTGTTTCATGTACAAATGCAAAGGACCCCAAAATTGTATTATATACGTTTTGTAACATCCCACCCACAAACCCACTCAATCGGTCTCTGTCTATCCCCTTCTTGCTTCTTGCCTCTTTTTTTTTTTTTTTGCCCTATTCAATAGGGTTTCTTGATGATCTTTTGCCCTTTGTGATATTGATCTCCTTTTCTTTGTTTATGTTTTCTGATTGATGCATTCAGTTTTTCTTGAGGCCCTGTTGATAGCTGTGGTTCTCTTTGATCTGATTGTTTTTGCTCTTGCCGGAGTGTTTTTTGGGGTTAAGCGGGTTCGAACTCGCGTCTCTCATCTTCTCACAATCTTGCCATGTCTAAAGTTCTTGATTTCACTGGTATGCTCTCTGATCTTTAATGGGTTTAAAGATTACAGCTTTGTTTGGGGAAAAAAGAAAGGAAAATGGGTTTCTCGTTTTTGTTCTCTTGTGTTTGTTTGTGGGCATGTTGCTCTTAAGTTTAAAGTGAAATGCTCTGATGGGTAAAGTTCGTGTCTTTTTTATTTATGTGTTGTGTTTCTTGTTGGGATCTTGTGATTTTCGTGAATCATGTGCAGATTACTTTAAACATTAATGGATGTTCTGATTTGAATTGTCCTATGGATCATGTTGTGATATATATGTCTATAACTGGGTTTTAAAGTGTTCAAAGAGTGTAAAATCTTGAAATGAGACTACCATTTTCAACTCCTGATCTTAGTAGTTTGTAAAAGAATGTAAAATCTTGAAATGAGACTACCATTTTCATTTGGTTACATTTAATGGTGCTGGTTAATCAAGATAGTTATATAGTCGAAGCTGATGACAGACGAAACCGAGCTATAGGACCTATCCTCTGAGTTATACTGGATATCTGATTAGCTGAACTAAACAACAATCTGAAAATTAATTATGCAATTTAAAGAAACACTCGGTCGATTTTTGGTAATAGATCCCCAGTATGTTCCTTTTACTAACCACAGCAGATTCATGTCGTACTAATGATTATTATTAAGATTGATTTTTTCTTAAACTCGAGCATTCATTTATTAATGAATCTTTATATATTTGCTTTCAGGCGACAAGGGATTTTACCCCGGAGGGTTTCTTTACCAAAACCCTAAGGAGGCTCTGTTACTGTCTCTCGGGAGGCATGTCGACGTGTATTTCTCTCCTCGCAAGAGGTCCCGTGTCAGTGCACCCGTTTTCTTTACCGAAGAACCCAAAAGCCAGCCATCGATCGAGATTCTTCCCGACGAGTGCCTGTTTGAGATTTTCAGGCGGCTTCCGAGCTGCCAAGAGAGAAGTGCATGCGCTAACGTGTCTAAGCGTTGGCTCATGCTTTTGAGTACCATCTGCCGAGAAGAAATATTCACAACGGCTCAGAAGTCCACTGAGCCTAATGAAACAGAGACCGAATCGGACGGCTTTCTAACGAGATGCTTGGAAGGAAAGAAGGCCAGTGACGTGCGATTGGCCGCTATTTCTGTTGGGACCACCGGCCGCGGTGGGTTAGGAAAGCTCTTGATCCGGGGGAATAGTTCCACTGTTAGACTTACTGATTGTGGTCTGAAGACTGTGTCATGTGGATGCCCTTCTTTGAAAGTTCTCTCCCTATGGAATTTATCCTCCGTGGGCGATGAAGGTCTGTCTGCAATTGCAACTGGCTGCCATTCACTCGAGAAGCTCGACCTCAGCCATTGCTCAGCCGTAACAGATAAAGGCCTGATTTCAATTGCTAGGAACTGCCCGAATTTGAAGTCCGTTATGCTCGAATCTTGCGCAAACATTGGTAATGCCAGCTTGAAAGCTCTTGGTCAAAGCTGCCCTAATCTGAAATCCATTACCCTGAAAAACTGCCCGCTCGTTGGCGATCAGGGTGTCGTGAGTTTGTTTACCTCGGCTGGTAACGTGCTCACAAAGGTGAATTTGACGTCACTTAACATAAGTGATGTCTCTCTTGCTGTGGTGGGCCATTATGGGTCTGCTTTGACTGATCTGGCACTTGGAGATCTACGACACGTGAGCGAGAGGGGCTTCTGGATGATGGGTAAGGGCCAAGGTCTTCAAAAGCTGAAATCTTTTTCCGTAACTTCCTGCCCGGGAGTTTCTGATAAGGGGTTCAGCGCAATCGGTCAAGGCTGCCCAAATTTGAAGACGGTCTCCCTTCGGAAGTGCCCGCTCGTGTCAGACAATGGGATGGTGGCCTTTGCGAACGCTGCTGGCTCGCTCGAGAGTATTAAGCTGGAGGAGATTCACAGGGTCTCGCAAGTAGGTGTTTTTGGTGTGCTCGTAAACAACAATGGGAAACTAAAGGCGTTTGCTTTGGTCAATTGCATGGGGGTTAAAGATGTGCCCGTCCGATTCACGGTGACTGTGTTCTGCAATTCTCTCAGATCGTTAGTTATTCGCAACTGCCCTGGTGTGGGAAATTTCGGATTGGGCGTTTTGGGTCAGCTTTGCCCCAATTTGACCCATGTGGAACTCACGGGCCTCAAGGGAATAACTGATTCGGGAGTTTACCCACTTTTTCAAAGTTCAGAAGCTTGTGTGGTAAAAGCAGTTCTAAGCAGGTGCGTGAACTTGACTGATAACATTGTCTCTCAAATAACCAAGATTCATGGGGCGACTTTGGAGGTTCTAAATCTCGACGGTTGCAAGAATGTAAGTGATTTGAGTTTAATGGAAGTCGCGGAAAATTGCTCTGTACTGTCTGAATTAGATGTTTCGCATTGTGGAATAACGGATAACGGGATAGGATTCTTGGCTGGGGCCAAACAGCTCAGTATTCAGATATTGTCTCTTGCGGGTTGCTCGTCAGTGTCTGTGAAGAGCTTGCCTTCTTTAGGAAAGCTGGGTAAGACCCTGTTTGGGTTGAACATTCAGCATTGTTCGGGAATAAGCTCCAGTGGCGTTAATCTGCTTATCGAACAGCTTTGGAGGTGCGACATACTCTCTTAAGGTTGAAGAAAGAAAAAACTCTTTTTCAAGAAAACAAAAAACGTTTGTTAGTGGTTATATTAAGTGGTAAGTTTTTGGGTCCATTGGTAATGGGTCTGGAATGTTGCAGTGTCCCCTAGTTGACTTGTTTTGTTCTGGGTTGGGCATGGCCATTTTTTTGCAGCTGAAAAAGCTGTTTTTTTGTCGATGGCCTTGTTTAGCTCAAGAGTTTCGAGCAGTTGGTGGGCTGGGATATTTTAGATTCTTTTTAAGCGGGTCGTGTTTTGATGGTTGCTTTTGGCAGTTTCATGTTTTTTACCTTGTGTCAACCGGGGCTTTGGCTGTGGCAGATGTTCTTGTTTTCGGTCTGCTATGACAACCTATTTAACGGTTGTTTTTTTCACTGAAGCCCTGGTTTTGCAAGTGTTTTTTTGTATGTAAACTGTCCCTAGTTCAACCTTGTGAGTCTTCAAGAACTATTTGTTTGCTTTGTTTTGTACCCCTTGTGGTGTTATGTGTAATGTGTTGTTTGAATAAAGGCTATTTTAGTGTATACTTGGATGCATTAATCTCATGTTTTGTTCAGATCATGAATATTCTTATACAACACAAATACAAACACCCTAAAATATCACAAAAACTGGCCAAATTGCATACTAATACCAATACAGATACAAATACATTACATTTTAGACAATCCTCTTCAAGACAAGGCACTCCAAAAATTTGTAGCATGGATAGGGATTACCATAGTAAAACCATACATTAGGTCCACAAAATCCACTAACTCATCAAGAACCTTGGAAACCAAATGAACAACCCAACTTCACAGTTGATCATCCATACCACGCGAATCACCGAGCTCTTCCATCCTCCAATGAGTTGAGTCTTATTTAACGAAGATTTCCAATAATTTTTCATTGAGGCCACAAACTAGATTTACAGCCCTGTTGCCAAGGACTCATACTGGAATTGTCTCTTGCACCTTAGCAATTTCTTCCTGAGCAGCTTCCGGAAGTTTCTCATCCATGTTCGACCCGCTGTCAGTTCTCCCAGAAACTGTAATTGCTTCATCGGTCAAGACTTTCGGCTGAACCACTTGCTCAGCAGTTTTACGGGATGATGTTGATGTTTTTTTCTTTTCATATGACAAGGCATTGTCCTCAAAGGGTAACTTGGGAAGGGACTTCCTTTGCGGTTTCTTGACATGATCATGTGTTCTGGCGAGGTTGCTCTGTGAGAGCTTCTCATCTAGGCTTAACCTGGACGGGCGGGGCCCGTTTTCTTTGGTGTCGGAAGTTGGTGAGCTCGAGCCCTTTTTCCGGCCGAGCTTGGGGGACTTGGCTCGGGTAGTTGGCATCTGCATCAACGATGGGCATATGATGGGCATATGATTTAATACTGTCAGTTATTATCGAATACGATTTATTCAAAAAATAAAATAAAATAAAGAAATGATGGGCATGAAGTACTACAACTGATTCATTGATAGGAGTAGAAATTTGTGACAAATTTTAATAAACTTATTGAGCTACATCACATGCACCAATAAGAATGGATGGGCTTCTTACCAAACAAAGAAAGCATAATACATTTTTTAATTGGTAAAAGATTTTCAAGTGTACACAGCTGAGAAAAGATTACTCCCACATTTTTTATTCATCATTTGTTTTTCCTCTCTTAAATTTATATGAAACTCACAAATTTATGTGTTCCTTATCGATTACCTTCTTTAGTTCCGCCTTCGGAGGTGCTGGTTCCTGATAGAAGCTCGGCATTGGTGTAGCTTTGAAACCCAAACTTTTTCTGAACATTTTGATCTCCGCATTCTGTGTTTCCTATTTAACATATTAAGATTAAAGCAGCTGATTAATATAGTCCTAGGCTCAACTCTTAGAGTCCTACTGTGCTATAAAATCCACACCTTAGTTTTAGCTAGCAGATTACACTTCTCTGCTTCCTTTGCCTGGATCTTTTCCTCGAGTTTTGAATAGAACTGTACAAATTCATTAAAACAAAAAGAAACAAAAAATATACAACAGAAATCTCAGATCTAAAATAAAGCAAGAAATCGCAAGCATTTAGAAAATGGCTGATGAACTCAGTAACTAACCTCTTTCCTTTTCTCAGCTCTTTCGTTGCATTTAAAACTGAAATTATAGGTCGGAAGAGTACCCAATTTGAGGGGCTTAGCATCATCACCACCAGTAGGACTTCTAAAACGTATGTTAAGGATATAAACATGAAGAAATCTTTATATCAAAGAAAGTTTTTCCTTTTTTTTTCCTTTTCTTTGTTCAATCTAGACAAAGGATACGATGAAGACTGAGGGACCTCATCTGCTTTACTTGCAGAGCCTTTCCTAATGGCTTTCAGCTTTGCCTTCTTACTGTAATAAAAGATTGCAGTTTACAGACCATTGTTGTACAAAATTTCACTAACCTATATGTGCTAGCAGGAAGCAAAATGTTGGTCAAAATTTTCAGTCAGTTAAGGATTGTATGATCCAATTAGACATGGGATTCTAAAAAGTTAGTGTTCATTAAAATTTAAAAAGACATACAGAAGTTCTTCAGGCTGTTCTCCGCATGTGGAAGACTGCTGCTGCTAGAATCAAGAAAAATAATAATGTAAAAGACGAGTGATGTAAGAATTAAGATAGTATCGCATAAAACTACATAAATGTTACTTACATTTTCACGTGGTCCCATATTTTGAGCAGAGGCTCGCCTCTCGTTGAATGATTTGCCTTTTGTTCCGAAAGCAGAAGTCTGCCTCGGGAGTGATTCAGAAACAGTGTTGCCATTTACAGATTTTGTAACCTCCTTTCCATCTTTACCCTTGCTCAAGGGTTTCCCATTTCTGGTCCTTATCGTACCCTTCAGCGGTTTCGAACCCTTTGAATCATCAGACTTTTGAACCTCGGGTTCCTGTAAGTATTAGCTATTAGATAACCTTGGAAAAAAAAAAATATTTGTTATCTGGAGAGTGATTTCTATAGCAAAAGGAAGAAGTGAATGGGAATTCTAAATAGAATCTAATACAATTGAGATAAAACTAGAAGAGTGTTTATACTGTAACATATTCTTATTTGTGATTAAAATCAAACCAAGAAGTCGAGGATCAAAAAAGTACAGAATGTTTCGTAAATTAAGCGAAATCAAGAGGGGAATTAGCATTTGAAAACACTACAGGACCAACAACAATGTCTTCATCTTCCCTTAAAATCTCTTACCTTTGGGCTGCTGGTTGAATGGCTTTCTGGTGGTAAAGCTGGATTTTCCGTGATTTCTTGAACAGCATTTAAATGATTTTCCCCCTCATTCAACCCGACAGCAATTTCAAAACTCTTGCCCAACCCTTCAATCTCAAGGGTGTCGTTTGAGTTCCCATTTAAATTCGTTGATCCATTTTCAAGATCCCCATTTCCAGACACAACAATGACACTATCATCATCCATCACGTCGGATTTTTCTAACAAGACAACAAGATTCACACCAAAAGAAATGAAAAAAATTAGACCCACGTTCTACAGAAGAAGATTTCAACAGACAATGAACGAAAAAACGAGAGGCACATAGTTATATTTCATTCAACTAGTGAAGAATAAAGTTTTCAACTAATTAATTCAGTATTCGACCGCACAAAATGTACGCAATACCGGAATATAACTCTACGGAATATAACTCTACTACATAATCGGAATAACTAAAAAAACATAATCAGAAGGCCAAAAAAAGAGCTACATTGGAGGCAATCAGCGCAGCAAACCAAAAGGAGCAGTTGTAACCTCTAAATTCAGAAAAGTGAAGATCAATAAAGAGAATATCATTCAAAATCACATCACTGCCAACAAGAATGCAACATAAAATCTATTACATTCTTAAATCACACAAACATAGGAGCGCTCAAACATCACTTGAATCCCCAACCTAAATTTACGACAGCCCGAAAAAGAAGCAGCTTTTCAACAAAGAACTTATGCAAAAACAAAGCAAGAAGCATTAGCGAGAGTCGGACAAAACCCTCAAGAAAACAAGAATTCAAACTGCAGAAGAAAACGCGAAGAACAAAATATAAGTAAGCTCCACAACACCCCGCAAGATCCCATCTTTACTCGTTCCGAGTGAGATTCAGATTCAGAAACTAGCTCCCATTCGAGAACATTATCACATTCTCGTGAACAAACACATTTTTTTTCACGCATTTTACCTAGTATTAGCGAACAGAGTCTGTAAGAATCTGAGATGAAAGATGAACAAGAGCTAGAGAGTGGGATTAGGGTCTCTCATTTTCTTGTGTCGGGGGGGACTGCTGTCTGTAAATTTCACGAGACACCTGCTGTGTGAAATGCGGACCGTCGGATGAATCGAAAAGAGATCTAATGGTTGAAAAAAAACCAAATACGCAATGTGAAAATACGCCAAATACCAGAAGAATACACCACCAACCAGACATGATAGCCGTAGTCCGTAGAGAAAAAGCTTTGAAAAAGCGCAGGTGGATGCTGATCTAATTGGATATACAATATCTTGGTTTATTTATTTATTTTTTCTATAGAATATCTTGTTTTTTTTTTAATCCCTCCCTATATATTAATTCAAAGTGAAAATATCTATTTTCACCCCGTTTTGAAGTCTGGTTTAGTTTTTCACACTATTCAATAAAAAACTAAGTTTTTCACCTCAAAAAGTGCGAAAGGCATTGTGCGATGAATATGCGACAATTGTGCGGCATTCGCATATCCCTTCGCACTTTCTGGGGTGAAAAAAAGTTAAAGTGCGAAGGCATTGTGCGATAAATATGCGACAGTTATGCGACAGTTTTTCGCATAACCTTCGCATATGCGACAGTTATGCGATGAATATGCGACAGTTTTCGCATAACCTTCACACTTTCTGAGGTGAAAAACTTAGCTTTTTATTGGACGGTGTGAAAAACTTATGTGTCTTTGTATTTGGGTGAAAAAAATTTTTTCCCTAATTCAAATCTGTGGAGCCTAGGTGGCAGATTCTCACGCTTCGGATGCTGACATGGCGAAAATCTATGCTTCGTGGTGTTGTTTTTATATTATTTTTGCTCTGGAGTTAAGTTTGGTATTAGACATAAATAACTTTACACATATATTAACTCAACACCCATGTTGTATATGAGTATTAGTACTAGTTAGTGTTAATTTTAAAAAGTTGGTTTAATTAATTTTTAATGAGATTTTAAGTTTGTGTTAAAAATAATATTTAAAATAAAATAAGAAGGTTAATTCGATATTAAAGTAAGAGAGAAGTGATTGAAAGTGATTCGTAGTTAGCATTACTTTAGCGATAAAATAGTGAAATAAAGTTGATTTGATGTTTAAAGATAATTGATTTGTATTATTTAATTATACTGATAATATTAAGAATAATATGATCGAGTTAAAGTTAACTTAATTAATTTTATCATGTTCAAATAGACATGTTCTAAATTGTAACTAATTCTAGTACAAATAAATTTAGCAACTTTTTAAAGGTCTTCATTGATATATCAATGTTGTTTTAAATATGTAACATATCGAGGATAAATTTATAAAATTAAATCAATTCACGATTAATAGCTACCAAGGTCGGTTTGGACTACATTTTGAAAAAGTTCACAATCCATTAATATGTTTAATAAAGTAGCTCAAATCAAGCTCCAACTCTTCAAACTTGTTCAGTGAATAGGTCGAGCTAGACTCAACTCATTAACTCAACTCATTAAAGCTTGAATTCAGTTAATTAGTATTGATAAAGAACCAAGCTCAGGCTCGTTTATCGGCTAATTCATTCAACAAGCTGAGTTCAACTTGATAAAGGCTCAAGCCGAGCTCAGGTATCAAAGAGGTCGAGTTGTGCTCGGCTCATTTACAAAAGACATAAAGGAAGTGAGTGATCGATCATCTAGCCTTATATCCTCCTATAGAACCATCTCACGCGTACTTCGATTTCAAAACCCATATGCACTCATTAATAGAGGACTATTAGCAGGCCAAAATGCAAACAGATACAAATACATTACATTTCAACAGGTATAGAAAGTGTTTCCTTGAACGATTACACATAAAGGCGATCCTCTTCAAGACAAGAGAGTTCCGAAAAGGTTTTTCACATTGATAGAGATTACATTCTAACAAACATATAGTAGTTCCAGAAAGTATTCCAAACTCAGCAACTTTATCAATAACCTAACTTTATGGCTGATTAATCCATCCAAGAGCCTTCCAAGAGCCTTCCATTATCGAATGATTTTGTTTGAATCAGAGGCATTTCCAATATTCATTCATGAAGACCACAAAAACAACTCATACTGCAATTGCCTCTTGCACCTTAGCAATTTCTTCTCCAGCCTCTGGAAGTTTCTCATTTACGTCCAACTTACCCTCGAATGTCTGAGCAGCTGTACTTTCTTCATTTGTCAAGACTTTTGGCTGAACCTCGTGCTCAACGGTTTCTTTGGAAGCATTGGTTTTACGAGACGATGATGTTTTTTTCTTTTCATATGATAAGGCATTGTCTTCAAACGGTAACTTGGGAAGAGACTTCCTTTGCGGCCTCTTGACATGTTCTTCACGTGTTGTTCGGGCAAGGTTGCTTTGCGAGAGTTTCTCATCCAAGCTTAGCCTAGGCTGGCAAGGCCCGCTTTCTTTGGTGCCGGCAGTTGGTGAACTCAAGTTCTTTTTCCGGCCAAGTTTGGGGGATTTAGCTCTGGTAGTAGGTATCTGCATCAAGAAATTGGGGACAGAGCATAAAGAACATACAAAGTTTAGGAGTCTTCATGAGAAAGAACATACAAATTTCGCAAATGCTCAAATGACGGGAGTGAATTAGAAAAAAGATGATAACGTATTAGGCTGGTGCATAAAGAAAGAATCATTAGCATACATTAGGTACAACTTCACAAATAATTATTATAAGCAGAAATGGGTCTACCCTCTAAATTTTAAGTCTCAATAATTGTATGGAAATCCTGCAGAGTGACAATTGAAAATCAAAACTTATTATTATTATTATTATTATTATTATTATTATTATTATTATTATTATTATTATTATTATTATTATTATTATTATTATTATTATTATCCACGTGTTAATCTCCATCTAAAATCTACACGAATCTCGCAGCTTGAATGCATAGTAAGAATTATTGTTACCTTCTTTAGTTCTGCTTTTGGAGGTGGAGGTTCCTGATAGAAGCTCGGCATTGGTGTAGCTTTGAAACCTAAACTTTTCCTCAACTTCTTGATCTCAGCTTCCTGTGTTTCCTATTTAACAGATAAAGATTACATCTGCATCAACACCATAAGTTGCTATCTGAAATATTGTTGGTAATGTGATACAAAAACCGCACCTTGGTTTTAGCTTGCAGATTACTCTTCTCTTCTTCCTTTGCCTGAATCTTTTCCTCGAGTTTCGAATAGAACTGTCGAAGCAAAATCCAGTACACGGGAAAAAAAGGTATAAAAATGATCAGAGGACAATTTCAGGTCCATATTGCACGATAAATAGTAAACAGTTTGAAGGCAAGACGAAGCAAGTACTAACTAACCTCTTTCCTTTTCTCAGCCCTTTCGTTGCATTTAAAACTGAAATTATAGGCAGGAAGAGAACCCATTTTTAGGGGCTTAGCTTCCTCAGCTGTAGGATTTCTGTAAAGAACTTTAAGGATAAACCAACTGAACTCCTTATATATATATAAGATGATGTTATTTAAAAAAATGTAAAAGAGAAATGGATACGATGAAGACTGTGAGCTCTCATCGGCTTTACTGGCAGGGCCTTTTGTAAGGGCTTTCACCTTTGTCTTCTTACTTTGATAAACAATTGAAGTCACAAACCACAATTATAGAAATTATTACCAAAAAAAGGGAATTGAAGAATCAGTTAATGTTAATGAAGATCCATTTTGACAAGGGAATTGAAAAATGAGTTTCTTGAAAGCAAATAAAACATACGGAATTTCTTCAGGCTGTGCCGCATTTTTAGCAGAAGCGGCTCTATAGCTGTCAGCACTTTGCCTCTCATTGAATGATTTACTTTTTGTTCCAAAAGCAGAAGTCTGTCTCGGGCGTGATTCGGAAGCAATGTTGCCGTTTGCAGATTTCTTAACCTCTTTGCCATCTTTGCCCTTGCTCAAATGTTTCCTATTGCCGATCTTGATCATACTGTCTTGCGGTTTCAAGTTCTTTGATTCATCAGGCTCTTGAACTCCAGAATCCTATAAGTATTATTTAATAGATAACCTTCAAAGAACTAATGAAGCTGTTTGCTGAAAATTTTAAGGCAGGGTTTGAGGAGTGAACTTTTATATGAAAAGAAACAATTAAATAAGAATGAAACCTCCAAATTTAGAGTTAAAAGAGAGTATGTTGTAAGGAAAAGCTGCACAACTTCTTCTTTAAGCATGAAATCAAATGAAATAGGATCAGAATCTAAAGTACCGATCTAACAGATCTTAGATTTTGAATAAATTAGATAATATCAAAAAAGAAGTTGGCATTTGAAGAAACTATAAATCTAAAATCAAAATCACTTCATGATATGTATTTATAAAACTCTCCCTTAGAATCTTCTACCTTTGAGTTGCTGGTTGAATGGCTTTCTGGCGGTAAAGTAGGCTCTTCTACGAATTCTTGGCCAGAATTTAATTTGTTCTCAACATTCACCTCAATGGAATTTTCGAAATTCTCCGCCAAATCTTCAATCTCAAGATTGCCATTTGAGGTCCCGTTAACATTTTCAGATATTGGGACTTGTTGGTGATGACAATTTTCAAGACTCCCATTCCCAGACACGGGAATGATATTATCAGCATCCATCATGCTCAATTTATCTAGAACAAAATCAATATTCACATCAAAAGAATTCAAAAGTAAGGCCCATTTATCTAGTCCTTAACAAGAAAAAACTGGCACATTGGATCAGATATTCTACATTTCAACGATGACGACGCTTCAAACTAATCAATATTAACGGCGAATGTAATCACACAAAATGTACAAATAACGGAAACCAAATTCAACTACACAATCAGAGGAACTCATGAAGACCTAAATTTGAAGCAAATAATGCAGGGAACCAAACGGAGTATTCACAAAATCCAATATTTAGTTTTTTTTTTTTTTTTTTTAAGGACTCCCTAAACCCAAAGAAATTGAAGAACAATAAAGGGAATCTCATTCAAAATCCCATTTTCACCAACAAGTATGCAACAAAGAATTTATTACATACAACAAATAACCCAAACATAGGACCTTAACATTTTTCCAATCCCCAATCCAAATCTTCTCTGGCAAGTGGCAACCCAGTTAATTTCTCAAAATTTTAAACAAAAATCTTAGGCTAACAGAGCAGGAGGTATTAACCAAACCAGAGGCAAGACCTTAATCAACCTTAGGTGATAAAACCCTCAAGAAAACAAGAATTTAACTACATAAGGAGAAAATGAGAAAAAGGTCCAAAAAGCAAAGGAGAATCATATATGAACTCCACATTAGATCCTTCAAAATCCGATCCAAGATCTCATCTTTACCCGTTCTTGGATTCAGATTCACAAAGCAGCTCCTTTAAGAAGATTATATTACATTCACGTGAACACACGCATATTCATGTATGTACGTTGGTATCAATGAGCAGCAACGACACATCATGCTTTCTCAATATGAAGCAACTAATGCAGAAAACCAGCGGGTGCATTTATAAAATCTATTTTTCAATTATTAATTTTTAAAGACCCCCCTAAACGGCTAAACCCAAACAAGATAGAAGAACAACAAAGGGAAATCTCACTCAAAATCCCATCTTCTTCGCCAACAAGAATGCAACGAAGAATCTATTACATATTAAGGAACCCACCTTACCTTAACATGTTTCCAGTTAATTATTATTCATTACTGATTCCCTACACCCCCAAAGGAAAATTGAAGAACAACAAAGGGAATCTCATTCCAAATCCCATCTTCACCAACAAGAATGCAACAAAGAATACATTACATACTAAAAAATTAACCCAATCTTAGGACACCTAACATTTTTCCAGTCCCGAATCTGAATCTTCTCCGGCAACCCAACCGAAGCTTCCGAAAAAAAGTCATAGGCTAACAGAGCTAGAGTTATGCAGAACCCATCTGCCTTAGTTAATAAACACCTCAACAAAACAAGAATTTAACTACAGAAGAAGAAAAAAATGAGAAAAGGGCCCAACAAGAAAAACCGAATCACATTCAAACTCCACCATCAGATCCTTCAAAAATCAGCTCCAAGATCTCATCTTTACAAGTTCTGAGATTCAGATTCAGAAAGTAGAGAGCTCATTTAAAAGCATTATTAGATTCACATGAACACACACACACATTTTCAAGTATATGTACCTTGGCATCAATGCGAAGCGACGGCATATCAATATATCATGCTTTTTTTCAAATTTGTCATAGCTGGAAAAAAGGGACTTACCACTGAAAGCAGCATTGGAAGGGAAAATGTGTCAAAAGGGCATTAAAGAGATCATTCAAGGATTAGAAAGATCTGTGTGTGTGAGTTCTTTAATGGGGTTTTGTTTTCTCCGGTCAGGTCTGGTCAGGTTTTTTTTTTTTAGACTGAAATTTTGAAATGAATTTTGAAAAATTCATTTTCATTTTCATTTTTCTACTTGTTTTGCTTCTACGTGATGTCATTTTGACAAAATTACATTTTTTTGGACTGCTAGTTTAATGTCGTAGTATTTTTAGTTTCAAGATTTTACGAGCTTGATTGTTCATGAAATAATTTGTTCAAAATAAATTATTTTGGTTAACTACAGTTAATTTTGAAAGAGGTGGTACGGTTAGTTGTTAGTAGAATTTTAAGAAGGGAAAAAACCTTTTTTCACTCCAATACAAAGATACATTAAGTTTTTTCACACCGCCCAATAAAAAAACTAAGTTTTTCACCACAGAAATTGCGAAGGTTATGCGAAAAATGTCGCATATTCATCGCATAACTGTCACATATGCGAAGATTATGCGAAAAACTGTCGCATAACTATCGCATATCAATTGCATAATTGTCGCATATTCATCGCACAATGCCTTCGCACTTTAACTTTTTTCCACTTCAGAAAGTGCGAAAGATATGTGCATGTCTTCGCACTTTCAACTTTCGCACAATGTCATCGCGCAATTGTCGCATATCCATCGCACAATGCTTTAGCACTTTCTGGGGTGAAAAACTTAGCTTTTTATTAGACGGTGTGAAAAACTTAACAAGACTTCAAAACGAGGTGAAAATAGCTATTTTCACTTTTAAGAATGTATTAAAATAATATTTAAAATAAAATGGTTAAAATTGATTTGACGTACAAGTGAGAGATAAATTATGGGAAATGATATGTAATTAAAATTATGTGAGTGGATGAATAGTGAATTAAAGTTGATGTGATGTGTAAGATTGACTGGTTTGTATTATTTAATTATATGAATAATATTAAACATAGCAGAGTTGAGTTAAAATTGAGTTAGATTTTGCGTTTGAAATAAAGGGTGAGTAAAATAATTCATAAACAATCAAGTCCTAACTTTTTGTCTTTTGATCATGTAATTTAATATTTTGCTGCAATTTCAGTCTTTGGAACTGAAATTGCAAAAAAATTCAAAATTACAGGATTTGAATTGCTAATAAAAAATTCTTCCAAAATATTTTTTATTAGCAATTTAAGTCTTGTAATTTAAATTTTGCTGTATTTTCATTCTCAAATGACTGAAATCTGAAATTGCTTTAATTTTACAGTTATAGGACAAAATAGCAAAAATGTTCAATTTTTATGACTAAAAATGTCACTGGATCAAACCAACAGGATTAAAATTATAATCTTGGCTATCATTTATTCTTTTTGGCAGTTTATGGAAAAAAAAAAAGAAAAAAAAAAGAAAATCGAATATTGATTAATTCAACATATTATATTAATTATTTGAAAAAATAAGAGGCAAGGTTGTGTTTTGTTTATGTTGATTTTGGATTTGTGCGGTCGCTGTTCAAATCCACTCCACGTCACTTTCTGATAAAGGATATACGAAAACAATGAGAATATTTTTCCGAAATTAAAAAATAAATCAATAAATTTGAAAGCATACTCTGAAGTCTGAATGCATGTTTTTTTTTTTTTT